AGTACTACCGAAACATTTGCTCAGTGTGCTCAACTTGCTTTAAGCAAACCATAACTCTAATGTGACTAACAAACAGAAAAATGGATATTTCTTTGAGCAATACAGACTACAACATCAGTGCGGACTTTTTCCCTAAGCACCTGGAGCAGAAGTAAATGTCCACCGCTCTTATGGCAATGTTGCGGCTACTCCTTGTTTATTTCTGTTAAGATCGGAAACCCGGGTAGTGTGGAATTTAACCAAACAACGGTATAATGACAATAATAAAGACAATGCAAGTTGATAACAACGACAATTAAAGCATATAAAGAGACACCAATTTAATGTGGTTCGGTCAGTGTGACCTACGTCCACAAGCGGAGATGAGCAATTTTAAAGGAGATTTGTTTGGGTATTCTTTCAACAGATGTACTGGATGAAAATAGGCTAACTAAATGGACATTTTACAGAAATGATAGAAGTAGAATTGGCAAAAGAAAGCAATAATTACCCTCATTCCTCCAATCACCAATAGAGCTGAACAGCTAGGATGAAAGACACAAGAGTGGAACTGATTCTCATGGATGCAATCACCGGTGGTCAATGACCAAACTTTAACGGACTCCTCACTTACTGATGCCAGTAGATCACCATTGAGATCCCAACAAAGGTAGTTCACCACTCCAGAATGTCCCTGTAAACACATTTACTTTGGGATGTGAGGCATGCGGCTGGAATATCCAGAAAATACAAAAGTGCCAGAAACATAAATTGATCGAGTAACAGTCAATTTAATCCACCAAAAGAGGGAAGGTAACGATGAACCTGGAAAGACTGTAGTTGCCTGTCATTTTCGACGTCAAAGATTGAAACCACCTTATCTGATGCGGCAGCCAGCTGATGACCAGTTATGGGCTGGAATCTCACTTGTGCACTGCCTCCTTGCAACAAATAGAAAGAGGAGACAAATTGAAGATAGTTCAATGCAAAATTATCACCTATAGATAATCGAACGAGGTGCGGCATTTGTCGACGTTGTTAACTTTAAGGCAACGTATCCTTGGTTGAACATTTGGAGAAATAGAAATAAACTTCATGCATTTGTGCTTTGTTCATACACTTGGAGAAATTTACATATATTTTTTTGTTGTCGTTGGCTGGTTGTCACTACCCAAATTTTCCTCCGTAGGATGTCATGATGACACCTAGTTTTAAAGACTAGGTAAGCCTAACCCTTACTGAATTAGAGATGACTCAACCAAAAAGTATTAAATATGAAATAGAAATTTCCTACAATCCCAAAACCGGTAGTACAAGTCACAAGCTCTACAGAGTTTACTAGAAAAATCTCTAAATACAACTGTTCTAGAATAGAATCAACAGTGCAGGAAAATATCAGAAGGTGACTCTGAGGCCTGCTAACGCGACAGCAGGTATACCTTAAGTCTCCACAACAATGCCTAATCAATTAGCAAGATTATCAACAACTCTGAGGTACCTGAATTTGCACAAAAATGTGTAGAATAGTAGCATGAGTACACCACAACGGTAAGTATCAAGCTTAATCTCGGTAGACTAGTGACGAGGCGAGGTCAAGACACCGACCGGACATGTAAACCTGTACAAAAGGCAACATAAAACTAATAAGGAAAGAATATCAATGTAAGGCCAATAACGGGAGAATTTACAATTCAAATCAACAATGAGAACACGGATAGCAACGAGAAAACAATCGAGTAATTAAGCAACAATATAGTGAGAGTACAAATGACATATGAATGAGTTCAAGTAAGGAATCATATGACAAATCAATCAATTAAATTATTTATGATGCATGTATTTCAACATAAATTATCCGAGCTATCACTCCTCGAAATCTCAACTCATGATTCACAACTCCCAATTCTTACACACGTGGCATCTTGTACCCATACCTTCCGAATCACTTTTGCACGGCAAAATCCTGGTGCTACCATGTGTATAATTTCCGTATCAATATCAACCAAGACGACCAATGAATAATTTAAACACAATTAAATACAATTTTCAAATTAAATACAGCGAAGCATCATGAGTCATTAAGCCAATTTAGGATTTAAATAAGATAAAATAGTGGAGAGGTTGTACAAATAGAAAATTAATTGAGTTTAGTTTAGAAGTATATGAGATCCGAGAAAATATTGTATTTATACAAAATAAGACATTCAACCAAGTTTTAACGAGATAAATATGAGATTTATTAAAGTAAAACGAAATAATAATTTTTCACACAAATTACACGACAATAGGATAATGAGAAGGTTGAGATATCAATTAGAGTAAAAATATAATCACCATTTAATTTAGTAAATCTCCGAATAAGATATGAATTTTATTTTTGAAAGACACACAAGGAGAACAACTTGAAAATTCTTTCATTTACCTCTGCTATATTCTCAGCAACTTAACATATCACACAGGCTGCACGACTCGCATAAGGAGTCAATATTGTTCCATTTTTAATATATTGACAGTTAAATGATCAAAATACAATGAAGTGATTTAAGAAACCACAGTAACCGTTCTAACATGAAATATATCATGAGAATCACAATCAGAATTAACCTTAATATCACAATAATTTCATATCTGTACATTTGGTGCAGCGTGCAACCCCATCCCATACAATATTAATCATATATGTTGCGGCATGCAACACGATCTCACACAATAATAATCATATCTGTTGCGGCATGCAACGCGATTCCTCACAATAATAAATCATATTTGTTGCGGCGTGCAACCCGATTCCTTACAATAATAAATTATATCTGTTGCGACGTGTAACCCGATCCCTTACAATAATAAATCATATTTGTTGCGGCGTGCAACCCGATCCTCAAGCAACACAAATTAGGCAACCAATTTACAACCAACTAGGGTATATCACAAAATCAAAAGGAATAACGAGGCTACACAAAGAAGTCACAACTAATGAAAAAGGCTACACGATAGCTCACGAAATCAAATAGAAAGGAAATGACAATCCATAAGCCAAGGCACAATTTTTGAGAATCAATTGACAATTAAGGCATGTAGCAGGTAAAGCATGAATTCAACGAGTGATTACAATTAACAATTAGCATATAAGGTTGAACTTGACAACAAGGATGGAACATGTGCTAACAATTTCAAGTAAAGCACGAACAAACAATTTTAACAACAAAAGATATAATCATGAAACGATATTTACAATCAATTGTATAAAGGAGCCTAACGGTCTAAACCTGTCAAATACCACATATAGGTCATGTACCCACTCGTCACCTCGCGTACACGGCCTTTACATGACACGAATGACACAATCATCTCAAATCCTAAGGGGTAATTTCTCCCATACAAAGTTAGACAAGATACTTACCTTAACGAAGTTAGGTCGATATTCCAAAATATCTTTCTTGTACAAAATGACCTTTGAACGGCTCCAATCTTTATTGCCGAATCTGAATTTTAAAGATTTGCAATTCAACAAACGGCCAAACACCAGCGACCATGACCGAAAACTAGCGACGACGAACTCGACCTCAACTCTCTTTGTGGTGGTTTAAGGTCTGATTGGCGATGGTTCTTGGACTAATTTATAGCTGAGATTAAGCTCTGGTTTTTCAATTTTTTGGAGCTGGTTTTACTGTGTTCTTGAGGCTGTTTTGTGGTGTCTTAGATCTGATTTTCGAGACTGTTGTTTTGGATGGTTTTGCAGCTATTTTTGAGGTGGAGATGCTGCGTTTTTAAGGTTGAAGAGAGCGGGTATAGTGGCTGGTTTTAGGGCTGTTTTTGGGTGGTTTTCGGGGCTGTAATTTTGATGGTTTTGAGGCTGTAAATTGGTGGTTTTGGGGCCTAATTTCAGCAGGTTTTGGGGAGGTTTCTGGGCTGGAATTTGGGGTGTCTTGGAGCTGATTTTCGCAGCTATTTTCTGGTCTTTGGTGGTGGTTTAATGGAGGTTTTATGGCTGAACTTTCATGGCCGTTTGGGGCTAGATTTGGGGTATTTTTCAGCTCATTTTTTGAGTGATTCTGTGGGTAATATTTACTTGAATTTAAGGATGTTTTGTGACTGTGTAATAGAGGTTTTATGGCTGAATCTCTGATCATTTTTAGAAGTTTCAAGAGGTGGTATTAATGAAGGTTTTCAGGTGGGTTTCATGGAGGAAGAGGGTGGCTCTCATGGCTGAACTAAAGATAAGAAGAAGGATTTTTGGGCTTTTGCTGGCAGCCTTTTTGGACCTCTAGCTCTAAGGTTTTTTTTTTGCCCTTCACTGTTTTTCGTATTCTCTTTCTCTTTTGTGTTTTGTTTTTCCAAGTTTGATCCTGAATCGTTCGAAAACCAAACTCGACCACACATGCAAGTTATAATACACATTACGAAGTTGTTCGAGATCTTAAGCCGCTGAACGGAATGCTAATTCTCAAAATGACATGTCGGGTCGTTACATTCTCCACCTCTTAAACAAACGTTCGTCCTCGAACGTGCTAAGAATTATTCTGAGGTTATCAAATTGCTGATTTTACTCTTACACATATACTCGCGGGTGATCCCATGTCTCCCCAATTATCATAAGTCCGGTACTACTATCTCCATTAAGATTATTTCTCATGTCTACCCTTATAGACCTTGGAACCAATTTCTTACACTCCAAACATTTTCAAAAGGTCTGATTTTCATATCGACACACAGTATTAGCCTCAACTGGATGCAGCAACTCGTGCCTACACTCGCACGGTACAACAACATAACTTACCGCAATGTGCATATGCCCATAATCACATCTCTGGTCATAATAGTTGTTCATAACCGATTATAGCATCGTCATTTAACTTCATGTTAACAAAAACCTCATTTCAAACCTTCACAATACTGACAACGAGACATAGGGCATGAAGACCTCATAATTATTTACCTGAATTAACGAGTCACACTTAACGTCACCTAGGCACCAACCTCGTAGGGTAAAACTCAATAATTACAACATGAATATGGCAAATTATGCACAGAGAAACACATATAAGAATGATCAAATAAGCCTAGCACGCGTGACTCCCTATAAGTAATATAGTACAAATTTAATTTCACAAGAGAGAATTTAAACACATAAATTTTTATCACAAGGATCTCATCCTGATTTAACTTCCACCGTGGCACGTAGCCCGATTTAAATATATCAAATCATATTAAAATGCGAGGATTCCATCCTCAGCTCTGTTTGTTGTTGCACTTGGTTGCTATCTGTCATTGTTGTGAAATATCTAAAAGAATTTATATCCGAATTACTTGAAATTGAACTGTATAAAATTGATTTGACTTAAACTGCCGGATTTGAAAGTATGTCTATTCTTTGCTGGAACTACTGAAAGCGAACTATGACTGTGTAGCTCGTCATTATCTTCAGTTCCTTAGTTATTATTGTTACTTGCTGAGTTGGTTGTACTCATACTACACCCTGCACTTCGTGTGTAGATCCAGGTGTTCCCGGACATACCGGGTGTTGATTCTTCTATACAACTGATTTTTCGGAGATTCAGAGGTAGCTGCCGTGTTTCGCAGACCTTGTCTCTCCTTCCCTATCTCTATATTACTGTATTTCGGTCTTAGACTATTATAGACCGTATTTTCCAGACTTGTACCCATAGTAGATGCTCATGTACTCAGTGACACCAGGTTTTGGGAGTATTGTATTAGAGTTTTCTAGATTTTGGTATTTTATTAAACATTACGTTTTTAAATTGAAACGAAATCGTGGGTTATTGATGTTGTCGGCTTGCCTAGTACTGAGATAGGCGCCATCACGACAGGTTAAGATTTTGGGTCGTGACAAGTTGGTATCAGAGCCGAATCGAGTTTTGGCTTGTATGGTTTCTCGATCTTCTTTATATGATCGCATCAGAGAGCGCCAATACGATGATCCCCATCTGCTTGTCCTTAAGGACACGGTTCAGCACGGGATACCAAGGAAGTCACTATTGCAGATGACAGTGTATTACGGATGTAGGGTAGGCTATGTGTGCCTAATGTAGATGGTTTGCGTGAGTTGATTCTCCAAGAAGCTCACAGTTCGCAGTACTCTATTCATCCAGGTGCCGCGAAGATGTATCAGGATTTGAGGCAGCATTATTGGTGGAGGCGAATGAAGAAAGATATAGTTGGGTTCGTAGCTCGGTGTCTAAATTGTCAAAAGGTAAAGTACGAGCATCAGAGACCGGGAGGATTGCTACAGAGACTTGAAATTCCGGAGTAGAAATGGGAGCGTATTACCATGGACTTTGTAGTTGGGCTCCCCCGGACCTTGAGAAATTTTGATGCTGTTTGGGTGATTGTAGATCGGCTAACCAAATCTACGCATTTTATTCCAGTTGGTACTAATTATTCTTCGGAGCGGTTGGCTGGGATTTATATTCGCGAGATTATTCGCCTACACGGCGTGCCGGTGTCCATTATTTCAGATCGGGGTACGTAGTTTACCTCACAGTTTTGGAGGGTAGTGCAGCGAGAATTGGGCACACAGGTTCAGTTGAGTACAATATTTCACCCTCAGATGGACGGACAGTCCGAGCGCACTATTCAGATATTGGAGGATATGCTACGTGCTTGTGTCATTGATTTTGGGGGGTCTTGGGATCAATTTTTGCCACTCGCGGAGTTTGCTTACAATAATAGCTACCAGTCAAGCATTCAGATGGCTCCGTATGAAGCTTTATATGGGAGACGGTGTCGGTCTCCAGTGGGTTGGTTTGATCCGGGTGAGGTTAGACTGTTGGGTACTGACTTAGTTCAGGATGCTTTAGAGAAGGTTAAAGTAATTAAGGAACGGCTTCGCACGGCACAGTCTAGACAGAAGAGTTATATCGACAGGAAGGTTCGTGATGTTCGTCACATGGTTGGGGAAAAGGTTCTGCTCAAGATTTCATCCATGAAGGGTGTGTTGACGTTCGGGAAAAAGGGAAAGTTGAGCCCTCGGTATATTGGACCTTTTGAGATACTTAAGAAAATTGGGGAGGTGGTTTATGAACTTGCTTTGCCACCTAGTCTATCAGGTGTTCATCCAGTGTTCCATGTATCCATGCTCCTAAAGTATGTCGTGGATCCGTCTCACATTCTCAATTTCAGTACAGTACAACTGGACGATAATTTGACTTATGATGTGGAGCCGGTGGCTATTTTAGGCCGACAAGTTCGAAAGCTGAGGTCAAAGAACATAGCATCAGTGAAGGTGCAGTGGAGAGGCCAGCCAGTCAGAGAAGCTACTTGGGTGACTGAGCAGGAGATGCGGAACAAATATCCACACTTATTTGAGACTCTAGGTATTATTTTAAACCCGTTCGAGGATGAACATTTGTTTAAGAGGGGGGGAATGTAACGACCCGGCCGGTCGTTTTGAATATTATAACCTCGTTCCCCCATTTACTGCTCAAATTATGTATTGCAATTGATTTATGACTTATCAGGTTAGTTGGTTCGGGTCCGGAAAGAATTCGGATTGAAATAAGACACTTAGTCTCATAATTGAAAATTTAAGTTAGAAAAATGGACCAGATATGGACCTATATGTAAACGACCTTGGATTTGAATTTTG